GTTACGGCTAAAATTTCAAGAGCTAAAACAATAAATTTAAAATAATAATTTATTAGGTGTCATTTTACATCACTGACTTATTAGTGATCGAAGCACGAAGCACGTTCGTGCTCACTCAAATCTGAGAACGACAGTTCAACTGGCAAGAAAGAAAACGAGTACGGAACCATGCGGTCATAGTAGTTTGAGAGACACAGAAACGCTAAGAGTTAATTCCTGTAAAAAATACATTTCTATACTTTTAGTTTTAAGTGGTTGTTTCTTCGCCAGTGAGTAACACAAGTTTTCTCTAATCACAAATTTACTCACAAAAAAAAAAAAAAAAAAAAATTGAAGCAATGTTATGAGTATTTTTTGTCCTTTGTACTTGCCTTTTACTATCATTTCGGGTGAATTTCTTGTCCTAGCTAATTTAAGTGTTTACATCGTAGGATTACCGCGTTGACTACAGGTAGACAACAAATACGCAACTCGCGGTGCCTGTAAGGTGGTGGTTGCCCTTCCGAAAATACAGAGATTTCTCCTGCAAACGCTTTGTTCTAACAACGTTCACACAATGACACGAAATCAACAAACATCAGAAACTAGTTAATCATCCAACATTTCAGCTCTTATTACACAGACTAAACTAGTGGCGCTACAGTAGCACATACTTCCTCGCATTATTTCAAACTTTTGCAATTTTCGAATACTCAGATAGTTCAACGAAAATGGAACATGCGATACTTTTTAAGAGTCATATACGCAGAAAAATTCGGAGTTTTTGAGCGAGAATACAGATTTCATTAACTTCATGCAAAAATTACACGAATACTACTTTTTTTATAATGTACAGGACCTTCTTTAAAAAGTTTTAGAACAGATTTCGTTTAAAACAAAAATCCCTACCGCCAATATTACTTTTCTATAATAATAGTTTTTTGCAATTTTCGAAATTGCAAAAAGGGGGACCATTCTGTGCGGACATTCGCCGGAAATGGGACCAGCACCACTTATTTACCGTTCTTCATTCTTTTAAGATTTTTTTACGTCCCCTGAGGACAAAGTTTAACCAAAAACGTTCGAGCCATTTTTGAGAAAATATCAAAAATGTTGTTGAGGTTTCAAGTAAAGAATGACCAAAAATATAAATATCAGTTTCGCAGCGTCTTCAGTTCGATCACATCAATCGCGGAATATCAATTTTGGACAAAAATTTGTCTGAACGATTTAAGTGCTAGCGTGTTCCCGACAATAGATTTTTCAGAGACAAGGGTACACAAAATAAGGATTATGACTACACACCGTATTAGAGAAAGTAATTTACTAGACACAGTAACAAGACTTATTCACCTTTCGAAAGCAAGGCCAGACAATAAAAGTTCTTCAGTCAAAAAATCGCCGATTTCCGCAACAAGATTACAACACTCTCTACTTACGTAATAAGTGAAGATAGTAACAATACGATATGCTTTGTCCCTTAAAACATCTGATTGAATATGCAGTGAATAAGAATTTAAAGAGGTATTAATAAACATTTTCCCAGCAAATTCTATTCGCAACTTCAAGTAAAGTCATGTAAAGTTGACTATCATGTGGTAGACAATTGTATGGAGGTACATATTTAATGATATCAATGCAGTCCTACGACTGGTTTGCATCACCAGCTATTGACACTGCACTTCAGTTGAGAATAACACACTCTCAGTTTATAATCAGAGATTTGGATATAGATGGTGAGAGAATAAAAAAATTCTATTTATTGAAATTACACGTTCCGCAAAATGAAACATTACATTCAGCTTTTGTTGAGAAGATTTGTGAACATTGTGTCGTGGCTCAAAAAAGTTTCCGTGCATTGAATTGGAGAAAAATAACAACATTTTATAATAACCCAATGTTCTCCAGTGGTATTACTTCTGAAAGGTGTAATGGAGAACATAAACCATGGTCTTTGATGTACACCCTATGTACCAGTAATGTTATTGACTTCGATATTCGGACTTTTATGAAGAAAGAAAATCCTGTTCATTTCTAACGACCCCGTCTCAACGCCGACTTGTTTTTTAAACAAATTTCGCAACGAAGACTTCGCACTGCAATTGCACAGCCTTGATGTTGTCTTTCTTATGTTGCCGTGTCCTGTTTTTCCTTTTAACATTTGCTTATGTAAAACATGCGTGATGCTCAGATGACGACAACAGCAACGAACGTTCGCGTAATGCCTTACAGTTCTTGTAAAAATCGATGAACTGCACATTTACATCAGTTGTTCATATAATTATCGGCTCCCCGGCAGCAAATACTACTGTGTACACAAATCGGCGCTCGACTTTAAAGGATGGGGTTCTGTTAGCTGAGACGCAAACGGCACTCCAAAAATCAATAACGTAAGCTATTTTGCTTTTCACTCATACTTTACTAAGATCACAACTTCTTCAGAATCCCATTTCCCCAAAATTGCGTTTTATTCCTTCGAAGGCCGTTTTCGAGCACAGCGGTCCCGCAAAGGCTCGCCTCCGACCCGACCCCGCGGGTCCGCCCACCGCCCCATCGGCGAGAGCGGCAGCGGCAGCGGCCCCGTGCAACCGCGCACGCCTGGCGGAAGGCCGGCGGCGTCTGAGGAGCGGAGCGGCGCGCGAGCGCGGCGTGGGCGGCAGGTGTTGGGCAAGGCGGCTCCCTCCGCCTCCGCCGCCCCCGACGCCGCGCAGGCGCAAGGTCGCGGCGCCTCCCCGCCTCCCGCGCCGCCAACGCCGCCGCCGCCGCCGCCGCCGCCGCCGCCTCGTCGATATCTGCCGTCGCGGCACCGGCACCACCAGCAGCGGCGGCACTTTCACTCTGCGGCCCCGCGCGCGGAGTCCACGGCTTCAGCGCCCACTCCCCGCCCCCGGCGCTGCTCAAACGCCCCGACTTCGACAATGAAAGCCAGCAGCAATTCGCCGCTCAACAGGTTAGCAATTTCCACACAATGAAGGATACAAACCGGGGTGTAGGGTCAGAAAATATCTCCCACTATCACGCCACGCAACGATGGCGTAGTACCATTTATAAGGAACCATCGACACAAAACCCCGTAAGTGCGCTACTTTTGGATATAGGAATTATCCTCGTGTCTCAAGAATCACAAAGAATGTATCAAGAAAATCTTAAAAATTCGAAGTTGTTGATGTACGTGAAACGCATATACAACTCGCAATACCCATCACGCTCCAACGCACGTGTCATCGTGCCTAACTAGGAAATGATGCATATTAAGTAATTAATCCAGATTTTCGTATCCTTCAAGGAACACGAATTATTTTGCGGTAATCTACAAAATGAAAACCTTTTTGACATTCTATCAAATATTGTAGTGAACTCCGTCCGCATGAGTTGTCAGAAACGTTCGAAACCAATTTCAGTATGATGCTACTTTCGCTTTTAAAACAATGAATTTAAAAAATGCTGAATGCCCGCACGAATATAAGTACTTTGATATAAATTACTAATTCCCACACGAATTCGTCCAACAAATACCTACGGCCTCCACATTCGAAAAAAATAACGTTTGCTTCGTTATTTCTGTGCCTGAGAAAACGAATTTCTTGCGAGTAAATTTTCAACTTTGAACAAATAATTCCATCCCTACACTTTGACGAGGTTTGAACACTGGAATCTCTGAGGCAGCGTCGGCCGGGGCGTCACGCCAGTCACAGACGTTCTCTTTCTAGAATGAATTGTACCGCAGAAAACGACATTCAACATTACTTGAAAAAAGGATCAAATTTTGATATGGCACGTATCCATTATAGTCCTAAAATAATGTATGACCACTAAAACACTTAATCTAAAATCGAAGAAACGTTCAATACACTTTACAATTCAAACCATACACATATATTTCAATGAAAATTATAATCTGCATTGCAGTGTTCTCAACATTGAACGCATTAGGCCAATAGGAATGGATTACTGAACACTGAACGTGTTCTCCATCCATCCATCCATCCATCCACACATACATACATACATACATACATACCAGTCCGTGCATACTAATTTTAGTAATAAGTGACATTCTTGTTTCAAGCATCGAACGACGTATATTCTAATGGCGTATTGTGGAAATGAATGTTTCACGAATTCGAAATCATGCACTTGGAACTGACCACTGACAACCGTTCTGACAGGGTTGCCACTGCGAGTCAAAAGAGTAACGCTTCATACCTAGGGACGGGATTTCAATGCAAACGTATATTTTTCCCTATAGTGAGAAAGTATCTTCACTTGGGTGTCCATAAAACACAAATTTCCAATTATTTTGACACCTGATTTTTAATGGCGCACTTATCTGACAATTGCTTAATAATTCTGTATATTTTGCTTTAAATCGTTTATCGCAAATCGTTTATTTACTAAATTTATTTTAATAGATTTAATTTTAAACTCTAATGTACTTTTATATTCGTAGTTTAGAGTACGTAATTTCAATTTCAGGTATTTCTATTATGGTATTTAACAGGAAAATCACGGTCGTTTCAAATATTATGTACGGTCGAGGCCATTTTGAAAATCGGTAACGCAGATGAACACATGAATTGAACTCCCTAGATTTACTGAAGAGGCTCGGTCAACACATGTGAGCGAAACTGGTTGCGATCAAGAAAAACCTTTCCCATTTCAATGTAGAGGTGGGTTTCGGAATTGTGTTCATACGTGTAGTGATGTTAGTTGTTAAATTATTTAGTGGCAGATTCAATTCTAGAAACTAATTATTCTAAAAGCGATACTCTTCGCAAAGTCACTATGTGATAGAGTAAAAGTAGCAGATGCAAGTATTTTGAGAATAAAATTATAAGAAACAGTTATGATGGATATATCACATATATTTTAGGGCATATTTTAGTACGTATATTCAAAGTTTTAATGCATTCATTCATAAATATTTCATAGATTATTAGCGCATAGAAATCCAGTTGAGAGGGAAACGTCACACAAGGTCAACGCTATTACGGCAATGTGCTTGTTGTTGGAACACCCACCTGTGCGTTGAGGAGGCGAGCGGCGTGCAGCAACCATTCCTCTGGGTCCTGCCGCGCCGTTTATCTGGGAAAAGAGAAGCACACTTAAACAACACTGGCGACGAGCAACACACGGCACACCGCATTTCACATTCAAATAACGCCCTCAAATTCAATTAGAGCCTGTGGATCTCTCCAAGCCTGAGCGCCTAACACTTGGCACACCACGACAGGTGTGTATTCGGACCACTTGATAATCACTACAGTTATTAACATCATTTGGCCAATACCAACAGAAAACCAACCGAGTCTGTTACTTGTATTAAGTGTTATGGATGAGTGCCGTTCAATAATTTTCGTTACACCATCTTTTTTTAATAAAAAGTAATGTGCGCCAGAAATACCATTTCTTGAAATAACATGTCATCTTTGTCTATAACGCGTGTGCTTCGACTCGTCTTAAGGAACGACGGACTGTTAAATCCTTAACGTAGCCATCCGCCGTTAGACTAGCATCTTCTTCCTCTGTTTGGTTGCCTTTAGTCATTACAACAGTACAGCGCTACGAAAACAAACATGTGGGATCCCCTGTGTTGTTGCTCAGTACTACGCAGGACTCTCCGCTAAATGCGGAGACGAAGCGAAGAGGGTTCAACAATTGCACGCCATCGAAAACGTAGATCTAATAACAAAAATTTGCCTCATTAAATATATTACAAGTAAAAAAAATACAAGTCCCCCCTTGTATGGTGATTATTGTACAAGCTCGTAAAGTGGACAGAACGCCTGACCTACGGCGGCGGGGAGGGGTTGGGGGAGGGACGGGGCGAGCGGTTCGGGGAGGTCAGGGTAGAGGGTGGGGGAGGGGTCGGGGGAGGGGTCGGGGGAGGGGTCGGGGGGGATGGCGGTGGAGGGAAGGGGGTCGGGCGAGGTCGGGGGGAGGGGTCCGGGCGGAGGGTGATGGAGGGTCCGGGGAGGTTTGGGGAGGGTCAGGGGAGGTCGAGGTAAGGTGGGTCAGGGCAGGCGTTGGGGAGTCGCGTGGCGGACGGAAGGCGGGGAGGGGCGGAGGTCAGCGCCGGCCCCGTCACCCACTCGCGCGCTGGCGGCGCAGACGCCGGGCGACGGTTGCCCAACACCGCGCTCCAGTTGCAGGCGAGGCCATCCCGGCACGCACGGCGCGCTCGCCTTCGACCTTCCACGCGGCACCCGCTGCCCGGCGCGCAGGTCGCTCCTCCTCCAACCGCCGCCCCGCCTCCTTCGCCAGAAATAACACAACGCGGGCTGGCGACGCAGCTCCACAAAGAACGTGAAAGTGAATTTCGACAAGCCTGTTGAAATGGACCTCTACAACCAGGAAGGGAGTACAACGAGGATGTTTAGTGAGAGAAAAGACAGACGGGGTCAGAGAGATGACAGACGGGGTGTGATACGATGGAAGACACAATTCTCCTCTCCGTGCATGGATCATTTTTTTGGGCAATTCCAAATAAAGTTGAAATAATCGCACGGCGAGGTTTCGACATTTCGAAACAGTGAAACGAGAAAGATACCGGTGCACCTCGTTGCAACATAAGATCAATTGGAGAAGAAACGATTTCAGTTACGAGGCGAAAAGAGAGAATTTAAACAAGGTAAGTTCAACGAAGTCCGGAAACAAAAAATGAAGAAAAAACGTCGATGTTAAAAGGTTCAGAAAAAAAGAAAATAGAAGGACAGAAAGCAAAGAAGGAATTCTTCCCAATTTAAGCTAAGCATGCGTTTGGATTGAACGTCTGTCGCGCTGACTACAATAATACACCAAGACGACAGTGAACCAACCGCCCTGAGATGTAGATCTGCTGAATAGACTCGGAATCGAAAGACGAATGGCGCTGCTAGGTTTTGCAGTCAAAATACACGACACCACATTTCTAAGAATTACTGGAGGCGCATGTCTGCAATTGCAAAACCACATTTCGTTATTCATCCTCAATGCGATGAAGCAAAATTGATTTCCAACAAACCTACAGCGCAGTCATATTCATGCCATCGACTCCGCATTCGCGAGAGAGATGAGAGGAGACAAGCCTGGGCATCATTAAATCACGCTGCCATTACAGGTGGCGCTGCATTGAAAGCTCTGCCCTGACGTCGCGTCGCGCCGCGTCGACTGGAGGGGAGCGCGTTGAGGGGCCGGAGTTGAGTGGAGCCGAGGGGCGTGGAGGGGCTGGGGGGGGGGCGGAAGGCGTCGAGCGGCAGAATGATGGATCGAACGCTCCCCCACGAGAAACCCTTCGCCCGCAGCCTCGCGCAATTGAATCAGACACTCGACGCGCGACGCCGCGACTCGACGCACGGCCACAGGCCTCAAGGACAGGAGGTGAAGTGGAAAACACTAAAGGCCTACACACAAGACAATAGTGTCAAGGGCTACAACACACGTCTGAGATGATCTGCTATTACCAAAATTGCATTTTGATTAATACTCCTGGATTCACGAAAATGAAATTGTGTTAAAATTAGACATACAATATTTTAATACAAACTTAACACTATCGAGAATCAAGCAGTTTTATTAATTAGAATGTTCTTGAGATACTATGCCCTACATTTTTTGGAGACCGTGTGGTTTTAGAATAAATATTTATATAAAAGGGTGTAAAATAGAGAAAGTGAAACATTGTGCAATGGCAACCAATTCTATTGAACATCATTCAGCTGAATCAATTCATGTTTAATGAGGACACATTACAGCCAAATTTTAACGCATGAATTCGTATTCAATTTTCGAATGAAATGTACCTTTGAATGGTATGTCCCTATGTAGTCTTGAGCAAGTGGCAAAGGCGCCGGCGACGGAGGGGACCGTGAGTCACGGGCCGTGACGGGGCTTCGCAGAGAGGGGGATAACGCTCGCGACGGGATTGGGGACAGTCGGCGCGGCGTTTCAACAGATTATCGCAGACCAAGATTGGAGAGAGATTACACTTCAACTTAGAGCAGGCATTTGTTCGGGTCTGAAACACACCTAGTCATCATCTATATACAGAAGTTGCAATTTGTAAGGAAAAACCAACATTTTGGCATCGATTTCATTTCGTCTAACGGCCAGACAGTATAATGCGTTACGTTATTTAAAATTTCTGGATAAAGCTATAAAAAATCAATATCAGAAAAAATAGAAGAAGGCCACAAGAAAAGAAAAGACAACAAACAGTATGGACATTTTTTATTTTTATAACACAAAATTCAAGTCGACTCTTCGAGTCTCAAGCACCATTATCAACTTCAGCAGAAATCCAAATACGTCCCTTATTCCTGCATGAATCACTGACAATAATGCTCCGCCCATCACAGCAGGGCGCGCTAGTCTTGGCAGCGAAGAAGGAGCGCGACTGTTGAGTCACTTGTGCCCGCTGCGCAGTGTTCCTGAACTCTGATGTACACCTACTGTGCTTCTGCTTAAAACAGCCTACCATCTCTGATGAAAAGAGATGTCAGATAAATAGTTAGAAGATTTCGCGTAATATGCATTTAAATATGACTACCATTTTATATGATCCGATGAGAAAGTCCGAGACATGTGCTACTTTTTAACAATTATAATCGTAGAAAACGGTGTACAGTTTTTTCCTCGTTCTCTAACCTCATTCTAAATTAGCGACAAGTACAAATTATTCTCTAGTACAGCGAGTGAATTGCAATCAGAACGCGCAAGAGAAGAATGCATATCCGAAACGATGGGACATGTAGCGCTTGTATCAAAACGAGGCGCTCCACTGACGTCAATGCCGGTTCAGATGAAACAAACACCAGGCCTCGAGGCCTACACAAAAACTAAGACTACTATAGCAGGGATGCATAAAATAAAAAGTAATATTTGGGAAAGTAAAAAAAGGTGGCCGCCCGGAAGTACGTGCAGGGACTCAGACGTGTACGACAGCAGCAACACTCTTTTCAAATCTTTTTCTTTGGTGAAATTAAATCTATTTTGGTATCATTACATGAGCTACAACTTAGTAAAGTTGAGTAATTCTGTAACATATTTTTGAGGGAATCCTTTTGGAATTGAAGTGCTGTACTAACTAAAACATCTTAACTAAAAATGTTTACACGAGTTACATTACATAAATGCTATTCGGCTTTATACCCCAGACTCACACGTGCGGTAGCCAGGAATGCTCGCATGCACAAACCGCGGAAAGACAAAATGCAAGATAAATATACAATTGCATCCGCTGGCCAGTGCGCCAGTTCCTTTTCGCTGCGAAAAATGCGTCAGAGACCGACGTTGCGCAGAAGCTCCGCCGGGGCGCCGCAGGGCTCTCTGGAGAGGCTCCTCTTACGTGCGGGCCCTTCCGACACCAGAAGGGCCCGTTTCACGAACACAGACAATCCCAGCCCAGGCCCTTGGTGCCAAGCCTGCAGCACCATCGCTGCTCTTCAACATGCAATGGGCAATTCTTACAAGGCAGAATATGACACCATGAACTCACCTCAATTCATCATCTATTTGCAATGATTTGTAAAGGGTGAACATTTTATTCAAACAGAATAAATAATAAAATCAATTTGATGCTTTTTCGAAAACAAGCACCGACTTTAAAAGATGGGGATTTGGTCGAACCAAAAGTAGTTTGTCAGACTTTTTAGAATGCTCGATTTGGGCTTGAAGACGTGGTTGGAGCACTCTTTCTAGATTTCGACATGGACTGCAAAATTAATTTAGCAGGCACAGACCAGGAGATTCAAGAACCCAGCGCTATTACGTAGGAAGCTGCAGGCACTGCTTCTCTGGGAGTATTGCAGTTGATGGGAAGAATGTTCCGTTTTAAACACTGCAAGGTGTTGGAGCAACTAACAGTCATCACCGGAACTGGCTATATCTCACGTCTGCAAATCTAACACAAGGACCAGGTTCGACCTCAGACGAGGACAATGACACTGGCACGTCTCGGTACGTAAGTTGAGTAACCAAACCATCCCAATTTAGGCTGCTTCTAACATAATTCAGTCATAATGAAAAATTAACCCCATATCCTTTCAAATAGCGACGAAATCATGAGATACGTACACATTTGCACTACTGCTCTTAATTTATACTAG